ATATAAAATCTATAGTAACTTTTAAAGCATTTTATTTAGATCAACTACCAAGTCACTTCCCCCCTTTTTAGTACTAGAAGAATGTATCCAACTTTTTATCGAATCATTCAGGATGACTGGGTCCGTTACACATCTATTATAAAGTGTATGAAACATTTTGGATGGAATTGGGTTGGAATTATCACACCGAGCGATGGAAGTGGAGACACAGAATTACAAGAATTGAGCAAAATGATGACCCAGCACGCTATCTGCATTGAGTTTATAATTAAACTTACAGATAATCAGCACACTAATAAACAGAAGATGTTAACCACCAGGTCGAGTGGTAGCATCATATTAATTTGTGGTCATTTCTCTATAAACTATCTGTATGTAATTGATGAATTAAAAGCTATTATAGAAAATAAGACCCTGATACTTCATGACTCCTGGACCAATTCAAAGTATATGGAATTTAATTTCTTTTCCTTAATTAATTGCAGTTTAATTTTTATACTACCAACAAAAACAATTCCAAACCTGGATACTTTTATTAATAGTGCAAATCCCTCCAGCCGACCAAACGATCCAACCCTAGAAGACATTTGGCTTCAACTGTTCCATTGCCTTTCTCCAAACCCACACAAAAATGACATACTAATGTTTATATATAAGTTTTCTGGTCGAAATTGTTCAGGCTCAGGTCACATTTCCTCAATGTTCTGTGACATCAAGGATTCAAAGCCCTCCTATGCATATACCTCAGTTTATGTTATGGCTCAAGCTTTGCACAGAATGAAGCTCAGAAAAGACAAACTAGGCACATTTAAATTACAACAATTAGTAAGTATGTACATAAACATTGTCAGTACATTAAATAGTGTGTAATATGTTTGGTAAAATTCCTGCATAGTGGCATTGGGTAGGCATCTGGTAATGAAATCATAAGAATAAGTTTCCTCGGTTTTGTTTTAGATTTAAAGCAGAGCTTTACACTCAAAACAAATTCTACCAATGCATCCCTCTATGTATGATAATGAATAATAACATAGACGTGTCAGGTGTAAAATGCTGTGATTTTTAAATACTTACACCAGTAGAGCATTAACTTCCTGCTTTGAAAGGGCAAAATAACTTCAGTTTGTCGAAGTAATGCACACTGGGATTGCCTTGCCATCAGCAGAGCATTGCTGGGAAATCTCATCTGTAATCTCACGAGATCTCAGGGAAAGGGATTTCCCTCCCCTGAGTTCATGTGCATGGTCACATGTCTAGTCACATGTGTCAGAAATCAGGGAAGTAATAGGAGAGCTAGTAATCTGCCCCAGTAAGACTGGGGAAGAAAAGAGAAATAAGGTATGCAAAGAATACAAAGCCAGCAATTATCTAGAAGTATGTGTTTGTAGTTTATCATTACTAAACATTTCTAAAGGTGTGTTTTTTGTTATTTGAAAGATATGGGTAAAGGTCCGCTTTAAAACTGACAACAAGGGGGCACATCCATCACTAAAATATAATGGGGAGTACCTTTTAAGCCCTCCTTAGTACAAGCTATGGTTTTCGGATTTTTCTCTAAAGGCTGTATGTAAATAATACTAAAGTGTATGGAAAGGCAAACTTTTTTGCTTTCAGATGGAATAATTAGGTCGGATATACACAGTTAGCATTTCATTTGAAAACAGTAGTTTGTGGAACGTTCATTTGATTTTCTAGCAGATAATGGGGTCAAGCGGACAATAATTTTTGACTATAGATATGAAAAAAATATAAGAGCAGGATGGAAAATGTTTCACAAACCAACAAAATTCTAACAGTGAATGTGGTTTTCATCTGGGACACCTTATTCATTTCAAAATTGAATCTTAAAATCAAACAAAATTATTAACAACATTGGTTACGTCTCTGAATGCATCATTGAATGTTCTAAAGAGATTTTTTTATGACCCTCTAAATAGCTTTTATTGTTTATATGTGTCCTTATGGGGGAGGTGAAAAGAAGAATAATGTCACCAGCACACCGTTTTTGTAAATCAATAATCCATTTTAATGGCACATTTCCATCCAATACATGCGTTTTCGGGGCCGCAGGGGGTCCCCTTCATCAGGCTCAGAATGAGGGGAGGTTTCTCCTAGTGACCATTGTTACTGTGACAGAAAATAGAATTTTTTTTCCAGATGAGTCTCCAAAGCAGGAAGTGAAGAGAAATCTTCCCATCAGGACACAGAAAGCAAAACGTGTCATAATACAAGGTTTACACTCCTCTAGTCTCTTGCACAACAAAAAAAAAATATAAAAATAGCGATGCACCAATATTGTTTTTTTGGTATCGAGTACAAGTACTAATATTTTTTTTCGGTACTGGCCGATACTAAACACTGATACTAGTTAATAGTCATTAAGGAAGCCGAGCAGCGTATAATGACTCACCACCTGGCTTCCTAAATAGCTGGGATGCTGGGTGGTGTGTAATGACTCGCCACCCAACAAATGGAAAGCCATATCTATGCTCCCTCATCATCAGGTGATGAGGAAGCATGGAGGAGTCCTTCTAACCAATCAAGCAAAACAAACGACAAACGCACTCAACAACTTGTCACCAGTTATACAGTAAGGTGCACACGAAATGGGCTTTGAACAGTAAAACAGTAGAAAGGCATCATGGCACACGTCTTCTGCAGAAAAGGAGGTTGGGCTTCATCCTGACAAACCTGCACCCAATTTGAAATCTTCTGCCCCCATGTGCTCCAAGATGGAGACTCTCATAGTTTAGAGTTAGGACCGCACTATAAGAGGTGCCTTGGCGCGGCATTGCGGCTTTCACATTTTCTGCAGAAGACGTGTATCCAAACCTCTGTTATTAACCTCAGTGGTGAGACAAGTTGTTTTACATGCTGGTTTGTGAGTGTGCCATGATGCCTTTCTACTGTTTCTTCTAACCAATCAGGCAGCTGAGGGGCGGGTAATGACTCGCCACCCGGCTTCCTGATCGCTAGCTTCCCAACCAATCAGGAAGCTGGGCATCAAGTCATTTCACGCCACTGAAGCTGGCTCCATGCTACCTCGTCATCAGCATTGGAAGCATTTGGGAGCATTTGGGCGAGTATGAGTACTCGCCCAAATACTCAGTATCGGCATTGATACTGATAGTAGTATCTGTGTCGGTGCATCCCTATATAAAAATGTTAAACATATGTTATAAATCAACTCTGCTTTATGTACAGTTGTAAAAAGGAGACTAAAGGAATTATCTGGATTGCTCCCCCTGCTAATATTTACCAAGAAAAGAACCCCATTGTTTGTTAGTGGTATATTTTGACAGATAAATACAATGGGTGTGATGCCTTGGAAAACCACAAGGTAACGTGCCCTGTGTCCTTTGTGTTTAGTTCAAATCACTGTGCTGCAGTGGTGTGACATGAAAAAAGTAGGGCATGCGCTACACCCAAATGACAGTGCTACAAAAAGACACCGGAGTTAATTTACTAAAGGACTAGCTTGTTAACCTAGCTTAGAGAATAAGAAGAGGCTGTCTTTAGCATGAGTACCCATTCACATGCACGGAAATAGAAACACAAGAATAAACAAAATTGTACCTTGCACATGATTGGATGTTTAAAGTTACACACAGCTGTACCTTATTAATTGAACTGAGTATATGAGCCCAGGCTTCTTCATTTTTGTGAATTACCTCTTCTTGCATTATACCAAGTGAGACTAATTGATTGATCTATCACAGCCAATGACAAAAGGACAGAATAACAATGTATGTTTTAGTGGTTATGTAAAAAGCAGCAGTATGGCTTTGCACATTCATGAAGCAGATGTATTTATTTTAGGACTCAAAATAAATTGTAATGTAAAAAAGAAGAAAGAGAGCTGGGAGAATACCTCTGTCACGTGACCTGTTCACTTCCAATCACAGAGCTTTCATTGCTCCATTTAGCAGAAAATACTGTGGTGGTTTGCTGACTATACGCCATGGCCTGTTTGTTATGAATGGGATGGATCGCAGTGTGCATGGCATAGCGATGCATAATAGTTCAGATAGCAATATTGACTTAATAAATGTGCCCCTTAATCCTATTAATTCCTTTTAATCATATTTACTGGAAAAAAACACATTGATGTATCCCTTCCTATTGTAGGCTGACCATATGTCCTGTTTTAAATGGAACAGTATCGTTATTTCCTAATTTTTTCCCCATTCCGTCGTTTATAAAAAAATAATCAGTTTTGTCCCATTTTCCTTCTTAGGAGGGTGCTCTGAGTCTGTGTGGGTCTTAACTTCTACATCCGTGCAACCAGCCAGTCACATTAAGGAGGCACACAGAGCGCACTCCTAAGAAGTCTCCGCCAGCAATCATTCTTCCTCTTTGGCAGTTCTGACTGGGAGGAAGTTACCTATAGGCACACAGAGTGCACACTGTGTCTATAGGTAACTTCCCCTAGTTAGTGCTGCCACAGAGGAACATTAAGCACTGGTGGGGACTTTAAGTAGCCATTTTATATGATCAACAGCAGAGCTTTTATCTCAGCATGGGAGTTCTCCAGGCTGTTATGAAATCTCAAGGTTAATGACATAGTTCTCTGCTCCTCAGACTGACACAATGGAAGGATATGAGGCAGTATAGGAAGGGAGAAATGTGCAGAAATAATGCACTGCATTGTATGAATTATGTCACTGAAGAATAATTGTTGATTGATTGTTGAGATGTGCATTTGCATTTGGACAAATTGCCAAAATTGGCAGTTTGCCATACTGCCAAACTGCCAAAATTCTGTCAATTCAGCAGTTCATCTGAATTCAAATTACTATATATTCGAGCATACAGTAATTTGTTGTATGGGTGCCGCCATCTTGGTGCATCCAATGTCACATAAGAAGACACAACACCCTCTTGGGTGCCCCACTATGGCAGTGCCCATTGTTTCTATGCATGCATGCATGTGGACGTACCACCGCTCTTTTTTTTTTTCTTCATTGTGCAGTTTCGGATTCGGAGGCCTGTTGACTCCGAATCTGAAACAGCATAATAATTAATTTTGTCCAAAGCTTTATGCTGTACACATCTAATATATTGTCATGAATCTTTTGTTATTATCTTACCTTTTCATGAATACAGAATATAAAAATCATCCCATTTTTGCCATCCCAATGACCTATTTTTGGCTCAAGGAAATATGGTCAGCCTACCCTATTGGCTTTGATGCATTTCTCCAAAATGGTGAAATTTTGCCAAAATGTCCAGGTTTTCCCTAGACATGTGCGATTCGGTTCGCTCCGAAATTCGTTTTGGACGAATTTTCGGAAATTTGGAGATTCGGATGCATCCGAATTCCGAATTAAAGCTAAGCCGAATGCAAACGAATCCGAAATTCCCGATTTCCCAAAATTCGTTATTAAACGAATTTCGTTGCAGCAAAATGACATTAGGAAAAAAAAATACAACAGTTACCTTCTCCAACAGTTGTATGGTTAAAGTACAGAAGCAATAGCGTAGAGGGTAGGGGACAGGTCTGCCATAGTTAAGGTCGCCGGTTCTAGTCCCGGGTAAGGTAAGGGGATAAAGATTTTTTTTTTCTTTGCTTTTGAATTGGCATTCTCCTATTGACTTAAATGTAATTTCTCATTTTGCTATTGGACGAATTCCGCAGCAAAATTATTATTTTTTTTTTTTTACCGTCTGCAGAAAGACTTTTTTTTTACAGTCTGATGAATGGACTCGAAAAACGAAACTAAACTAAACAATTTTTTTTTTTTTCAAAACGAAACTAAACTAAACGAATTTTTTTTTTCAAAACGAAACTAAACTAAACAAATTTTTTGCTGGTGCACATGTCTAGTTTTCCCCAACATGTTGCCAATCCAAAAAATGTGAAACATTTGCTGATCCCTAGTTGTGAACCCGTCTCTATATATAGATTACTGACATATTATTTTTATTCTCCCACTGAAGCTGCACAGCTACGTGAAAAAGGTTAATTATTTGGATTCCACTGGAGCAGAGATCTTCTTTAATGATCAAGCAGAAGTCCCCACCAAGCTGATTTTAGCAAACCTTGTCATTTACAAAACCAAGACCGACTTTAAATTTGTCACAGTGCCATTGCTTGTTTTCAACACGACTCTAGATGATAACAATGTTTTTAATATTGAAGTTAACAACATCTCATGGAAAAATGCCACTGTAAGAAATGTTTCATTTTCAATTTTGTATGTTCAGTCTAAAGAGAGGTGGTGGGTGTTCTGCAACCCTCAAAAGGCACACAACATTTATTGCACAAAACCTTTTTGTTTGGAGTTGCAGATTTGCTTTCAAATTTCTGTTTTCTATTTGAAGCTCATTCAAATATATTGTTTTCTATTTATTTGTCATTGTTTGCCTCCAAAACTCCTTTTTTCTTTTTCCTTAATACCAACACAAGGAGGTTAATATATTACAGCTATGCATTGTCTGTTATGTAGATTATGGCAAGTATTGATCCTTTAGCATTTTCTAGCCTCAAACGACTTTGTATTTATCATCCAAACAAAGAACTGGCATGGTAGTTGTGAACCAGGTCTTCTCACACAACTTTAGATCTTGACCTCACAGCTCCTAAAGCTAAATGATCACAAATGCCCACAGACAGTCTTGTGGAAAACCTTGAAAGAGAAATAAAGGCCACTGGCTCCAATACATTTCACTAAAATAGATTTTTCCTAAATTTCAGCAAAATTGCTGAATCTCTCAATGACATGGCTTTGTTTATCAGACATGGCTTTGTTTATTAGGATTTTTACTAGGTTTGACATCACTTAGGGTTAGCGCTAGAGAAAGGGTTATCCTAATGTTTTTTTGGCCCCAAAACAGTTCAAGAATAGATTAAATGGACTTAAAAGTACCTTATATTTGCCTTCATTTGTGAAATGGAAACATTTTAGCAAAATGTCCACAATTATAAATGTTTTGCTGGAGTGAAATCTCTCAATTTTACTTATCCCTGTAATACATTACCAAAAAGGTCACATTTCTGGTAGATTGGCAAATCATTGATCCAAGCTATAATATTGAAAATATTATTCAAATTGCTATTGCATTTCTATTTCTATTCTATTTTTAATGATTGTTTCTATTTTATATTCCTCATCAAATCCAAGATTCCAGAATCCCGATGTAATGACAGATGTCCTTATGGGTACAGAAAAGCTACTAATGGAAGAATCCATGTTTGCTGCTATGACTGCATCCCATGTTCTGAGGGAGAGATGTCCAATGTAACTGGTAAGAATGTGCTACATAACCACAGCATGTCAGATGGATGATTTTTTGGGGAATGTACCCAAAATATAATATTTACTTGATTCAATGAACAGGAAGGCCAGATAGATATGGTACAAAGATGAACCATTTCACCAATTTACGTGATATCACTGACCCAAACAGTGAACCAATGCAGGTGAAAATCAAAACAAACCAGCAAACACAAGTGAAGAGTGCAAACACCTAACTAACTATATACAACATATACACAGTCATGGGCACACTCAGCTCTTGTTGCTGAGGCAACAAGAGCTTCCTGAGGAGGGGTCTAATTATCCTCTCAGCAGCCAGTATCAGGTAAATATTAATTGCTGGGGACTGCTGACTGGGAGACACCCACTGGTGGACACTGGGACTACATGCTTTAGGTCTAAAGACCACAGTGCCACCAGCAGGTGCTCTGGTTCCTGACACCCGCCCTCCTCCCTTCTACAAGATGATTGAGATTGATGATTGTGATCTTGTGCTGAACAGGAAGTTCAAGGATGCAGATATGAAAAAGTTGAAGCCAGCTATTTGTGAACATGGTGAACATGCAGTGCATGGGTGAAAATATAAAAACAAACTCTGCTGGGTACATTTATTTGTTTGATCTGGATTCTTTATTAAATAAATATTAGAACCACTGACCTCATCACATCTAATGCAGGTCAATTGACTTGCATTAGACGTGAGGATGCCGAGGGTAATCTATCGTCAGAGCAGAGGGGAACAGAGGTAAGCACTCACCACAGTGAGACCAAGGTGAGTATATTTGCTTTATTTGAGTCCCCTAGAAAAAAAGAAAAACATGTTTTTTTTTATTTCAAAAGTCTTTTTTTTAATGTTGGGGGACCAAAGCTGCAGTATGATACATATACCGTATACATACATGGTACACATATGATTGGTATATAATATAGTACAGATGTTTGAGATTCTCAAAAAATTCCCACATTCCAGATAATATGCATAAAATTGTTAGCAAAATGCTATCACATATTATTTACATGTGTTTTTTTATATTTAACAGACAGTGAAACCTGCCACAAATGTCCCAATGAAGAATGGCCAGATGAGACAAAAGGCACATGTGTTCTAAAAACATATATTTTTTTGTCCTATGAAAATGATGTAATTGTTACAATTTTTTCATTATCTGTTTTACTTTTTTCAGCCATAACATTATTTATATTATTCAGTTTTATCTACTACTGGGACTCTCCAGTAGTAAAAGCCAATAACCGGACTGTGAGCTTCATCCTTCTCATCTCCATCTTGCTGAGCTTCCTCTGTGTCTTCTTGTTCCTTGGTCGTCCTGTGGATATAACTTGCATGCTGAGACAAGTGTCATTCGGGATCTTCTTCTCCATCGCTGTCTCTTGTGTTCTGGCCAAGACTATGACAGTCTGCATTGCCTTTAAAGCTACCAAACCTGGAAGTTCCTGGAGAAAGTGGGTGGGGGTCAGAGTGTCTTATTTTGTATTTTTGAGCTGCTCCTCTGTCCAAGTTCTGATCTGTGTTATTTGGCTGTCAGTGTCTCCTCCCCACCATGAGTATGGCATGTACTCCTATCCTGGGAAGATCATCATTCAGTGTAATGAAGGGTCAGTAATTGCTTTTTACTCTGTGTTGGGTTATATGGGGCTTCTGGCAGCTGTGAGTTTTCTTCTGGCTTTCATGGTGAGGACATTACCGGACAGTTTCAATGAGGCCAAGTACATCACCTTCAGCATGCTGGTCTTCTGCAGTGTCTGGATTGCCATGATCCCGGCCTATCTGAGCACCAGAGGGAAATACATGGTGACTGTGGAGATATTCGCTATACTGAGCTCCAGTGCAGGTGTACTTGGCGGTATATTTTTCCCAAAACTGTACATCCTTTTTTTTAAACCTGAGATGAATTCCAGAAAGATCATGTTGGTGTAAAGATTTTAATAAAATGCTAACACTGATCTCATCAGGAGTAAAATGTTACCTATCAAAACATTCTTTCATCATTTGTTCATCCAGTTTTTAGACTTTAACATACTAAAAAAAATGTTTGATTCCCCATTTTTAATGTGGATAATAATGTTATGAATAATTTAGTGCAATTACAGTTTCTGCTTTATAGATCATCTTAAGTATCTGCTGGACATGAAATCACCTAGCTATGTAACTTACAATTAGGAGTATACTTTTGTGGATATGTTTTGAAAGACATCATTCTGTGCAAAGAGCGTGTGGTGTAGGGCATTTTTAAACATTTTTGAATGGGCTACTTACTGAATCACACTAAAGAAGCGCATGATCCTTTTTTTTAAAATTGCATTTCACCACAATGCATTTTAAAAATTAACCACGTAATGTGGTGCAATGCAATAAATACAGTATATTAAAAATGCGTTGCGTTATATCTCTCTATACCGTGTGTCAGAAAGTTAATTCTAATTCATGTGTGTCACAAAATGTAAATGTGATCCAATTACAACTCACTCATATCCACATCAATGCAAAGTATCTAACTTAATAAAGTGAATTTCATTTATACATGCAGAAAAACCTATGATATTTTAGTTCATGATACCTCCAGCAGTTCCCAATCACTAATCACCCACAGGGGTGCTGCTCACCTCATATACAGACCTTAGAACAAGGTCAAATAACGCCAATCCCCTTTCACTTGATGTATAAAGTCAGGGGGAAGGTCCCAAAGCTGCCATAGCAGAGAACACCTCTTCCGCCTTAGTAACGGCTCACTATATCGTGTCTACACAGATGATTATGGCAAAGTTTCCAGAGTCTCTGTATATATATCCCTCAGAGTTCTGGGTGCATATTAAGAATACAAAGAAGGCTCCATAGTGCCCATAAATAATGGCACTGTAGTGCAGAAACAGTGTCCCATGCAATGCTGTTCAATGTGGCCTCCAGCATTGCATAGATGTGAACTAGGGCTTTAATATGCTGTATTGGATCTGGGCTTATTTTCTCCTGTTTTGAGCATAGACGGGGGAATTTATCAAAACTAGAGCAGACAAATTCTGGAGCAGATTTGCACTGCAACCAATCAGCTTATCTGTCTCATTGTCAAATCTTACCTGCGCAAACTGAAGAGAGATGCTGATTGGTTGCCGTGGGCAACTGCTCCAGATTTTGTCTGCTCCAGTTTTGATAAATTCCCCCCAGAGTGTTTTGTATATAATTTATTTATGTAAGCATGTGTTTAATGCAGAGAGTTGTGACTGTCAGTCATGGCTCCATTTCAAATATACCCCTAATAATTAAGCAATCACATAATTTAATCAGTCTCTAAAAGCAATCAACTCAAAAGGTTCATACCATTAACCCCTACAACCAATAGGAGCACGGTATAACCTCTTGTACCTAACATATTCGTTTACAGCAGAGACTACAAAGGTATTCCAAGTTAAAATCAAGGTATTCCAAGTTAAATCTATATAAATCACGAATTCAATAAATTGAGTAGAAAATAAAGTAAAAACATATGTAAAAATGTTAAAAATTCAATGATCATTAAGATAAGTATATGGAAAGTTGTATTTTAAAATACTACACTAGATAAGGTTGAAATGTATAAAATGCACATTATATGAATACAGAAATGCATATTAGAAATATATAAAAATTATATATATATAAATCCATATTAATAATTAGTTAAAAAACAATTAAGATCAAAATCTATATTTAACCCCCTCGGTGCCATAGTGTCCAGAAGAAAAATCCATTTGGATTCATTTTTTGAAATTTCTTTTATGAGATTTGAACCCCTCCAATGATTTTTTTATTCTATCCACATATTTTTAGAGACTGAGGGTTTTGATTGTGATGTATTTTATAATGTCTGGATAAGCTATGTTTGGTAAAACCTTTTTTAATATTGTTAATGTGCTCTTCCAATCTCTTTTTTAATTCCCTTTTAGTCCTCCCCAGTGGTGAGGAAGAATTGTGGAACTCTCACCAGAACGATCTTTTATTCATATTGATTGATATATTTTATTTTTGTTCGTATATATATTTTTTGGTGCATTTTTTGTTAGTTCACACCACGGACTGAAATTTTTGGAAGGACTTGTGTTTTTTCATTCTTTGCATTTTTTTCATTTTTTCTCCTTTTTTATATTTTATTTTATTTTTTATTTTCAATACAATTTTGATTGGTGCATTTGCTTCACTGTTTTCACTGCTATTTTGCACTTCTTCACATATTTATGAAATATTTTTATTGAATGGTTATATAATATTTTAGCTCACTTTGATATACTTAGTTTTATGGTTTTTACATTGTAATATCCTGTTACATTTATTCACTTATCTTATTGAGGAATGTAGCTTTCCTTCTGATTGTTTGTACATCAGCACTTTTTTAGTCCTATATGGACATCTGTTTTTTGATACTTTATATTCATATTGGTAGGTTTATTTGATTATTTATTCACAGGGTTGTCACCCATGTTTTGATTCATATATATTTACATATTTTTATATTTAAGTCATGGCTCCATGCAGGGATTCCCCCCTCCCTCCTCTGATCCTCCAGCGCTGACTGGTGGAATGGATGGAGGAGAGGGCGGCACAGCTGGCTCTGGCTCTAGATAGGCAGAGCCAGCTGTCTCTCACGCAGCTGGGTGGATCTCGACAGTAATGTCGGGATCCATCCCGACTGCGGCGGTCTCAGTATACCGTGAGCTGTAGCTCGCGATATACAGAGCTTTGGGTCACAGGAGGATGCTAGTTTATGTCCTCCCGTGACCCCAAGGAGAACTATTGGGAAAAACACTTACCCATAGTTCTCCTTTAACCACTTCAAGACCAGGTGTTTAGACCCCCTTCCTGGCCAGGCCATTTTTCAGTATTCAACGCTGCAGTACTTTGACTGACGTTTATTCCGACATGCAACGCTGTACTGAAATGAATTATAGACCATTTTTTTGGGACAGATATAGCTTTCTTTTAGTGGTATTTGAACACCACTGGGGTTTTTATTTTTTACTATAATTAGGAAAAATTACAGATTTTTTTTTTACATTATGTTAGGAAACATTTAATATTACCCGTTTTTTTGGCTATTAGCTATTTATAGGATATATTTTAGTAGCTGCATGGTATTTGTGTGTCAAATTTTCCGTTTACATAGTATATATCCTTGGTTCTCAACTGGTGGGTCGTGACCCAAAAGTGGGTCGCGACCCTGTGTTCAGTGAGTCCCCGTGTGCCTTCCACTTTTCTAGTTGAGAGGGTCCTCAGCCCCCCCTAGCGCAGCACTGTCAGTTCTTGCGCCAAGCAGCTATTCAAAATATGCTGCCTTGTGCCGAGTGTCAGCTTGAGGTAGGGTGGGCTCCATCCATATGTGCATTGCTTACAGCTCCCTCGCATGTCCTGTAGAGATGCCTGGACCGGTGTGACGTAGCATACTTGCTCCCGGCACCTCTACAGGGTGTGCAAGGGATCTGTAAAGCACTGCACATATGGATGGAGCTTCATCATAGTACTGCAGCCCACACCGGACCCCAAGCTAAGGATCCACTCCAGTTCTCATAAGGTAGGGAGACTGGGTGTGTGTGAGATTGTGTCTGTAGTTGTGTGTTTTTGAGGGCCCATTCACACTAGTACAGTGCGTTAATTGCACAGACACGTGCGATTAACACACTGTACTTCGCAATCGCACCTACCACACGTTTTGGTATGAGAAGTGCATTGCATTGCCATTTGAATGGCACCTCAATTGCACCTCCCACCCACAGTTGTATTGCCCACATCGGAACGTGCAGTACCGCAATGCCGTGCATTCCATTGCAGTGCAACTTGGGTCACGACTTATCGACCAAGGACACATGTGGGTCCTGAGGTTACACAGGTTGAGAACCACTGGTATATATGGAAGTGTAGTAGTAGAAAATCATGAGTAAGATAGCATGAGTTCTCTAGATAGTATCAGTGTTTCCTATGTAATTTTGTTACAGAGTTCACTGATACTATCAAGATAATGGAACATTATGCCTGAAACCACTACTTTATTTAGGTCCACCCAGATATAATGTTTTTACATGATCACTTCCTTACAATGCTATATTGTTTAACTCATGTTAATGGGACCACTAAAAAGTTTGCACCCCAAAAAATGCATACCCTCACCACAGGTTTAAAAAATGCAGCTCAGCAAATCTCAGTCACAAGTTCCCTTCACTGCAGTGATTGACGTCTCTGACATGATACATGCAGCAGGCTAGAACATCAAGCATATTCTGGGTCACCTCCAGCTAGTGCTGCAGAGTTAACACTGAGCGACCCATGGATACAATCACTTGTAAATAATTTATAAACAAGTGATCATTCTTGCTGATCATGTTTGCTTGACCAGGGCAGGGCCTTGCAATGAAAAAAATAACGCAAAAAATGTAACATTAAATAATGTAAAAATTCTAATACTTAAATATTTTTTTAAACAAATAAAAATAAAAAATACTGTTAGCATGTGGGATTATGGCTCAGTTTTCACCAGTGTTTGGCTCTCAAAACTTTTATTAAAGGTCATGTTTCTGTTGGCCTCTCGCTCCTTGAATAGGATAAAAAGCCTTCATCTTATTCTGTCTGTGAATCAGAGACTTTTTTAACATTTGAGACATTTTTATCTACAAAGTGGGATTGATTCAATCTGTGTGAGGCAAGTGTCTGAAAAGGCAGTCTTATCTTGCAAGACACCCCTTTTTTTTTTACAGTTTTTCCATTGTGACAAGATTGTTTTTAAATCTAGGACATTATTTTTTTAAAGGTAGTTACCAGATTTAATTGACATCCCTGCTCATGTTTGCTTCAACTGAGCGAGGATGGTCAAACAAAGGAAAAAATATAAAAATGTAAACATGTTACATGCTAAATATTGTTTCAAAAATAAATACTTCATAGTTCAGAAACACTGCCTC